AACAGAAGTAATCGCTCTACACCGCCTCCGATGGCTGGGTCACGTATTGCGTATGCCTGCCCATCGACTTCCTTTCCGTGCTCTCTTTGCACGTGCCGGGCAAGGCTGGAAGAAGCGGCGCGGCGGTCAGACCATGACATGGGCTAGAGGCATGAAGAAGCTGGCTTCAGCTTTGGCTTCGGTTGGTGCAGCCCGCCTTCCAGGTTGGGGCCCAAGGGATGAGGATTGTCTATGGTTAGAGACGCTGAGAGATATGGCGCAGAATAGAAGTCAGTGGCGCGAATGCTGTACGATCTGTCTATCGAAATCCCGTGCCCATTAAGAAAAACGAAACATCAAACAACAAAAAAATTGCAAAAGGTGTACGGTGAAACACAAAAAATTCTGTTATCTTGTATTTTCCATGTTTAACTGTCTCACCCACTTTTCACCATGTTCTGTATCTTAATCCACCTATCCCCTTTCACTGTCATTGTTGTTGCGCTGGCACCATGCTTGTTTTCAAGCCGGTGGTAAATATATAAACCCCTCGACCACGTAGAGAAAGTAAATTTGTGTAATTCAAATTTCCTGTTGTGAAAAACCTGTAATTATTACTAGCGACCATTTGGTACACGATTCGGCATGGGTGGTGCCAATTCCTCCAGTCTCACTACTAAGAAATATTAATTTTTAGAACACACGCGATTCACACTCCTTCACTCCTTGATGGCGGAACACCATCATGAAACTTTCCCACCAAATTTTACTTACACGGAGTTCGATAGAGAGCAACCGAAATGACAGTATACCCAGTCTGTACGCATATTTAGCTTGACTATGGGCAACGTTATTTTTGTCTATCAAGTGGTGTGCAGTGCGACTGCTCTATCGTTTCACATCCTCTCACCCGTGATCTCAAACAATTATATTCCCCCTGACCCACTAAGCCATCTGATTGGATCATTTTTCGCGATTTGTGCAATTCGGAATGCCTCAACCTGACACGAGACTGTCTTATCATCAGTTCGTAATGCTTGTGATGCTCCTGTTGTTGCCCGTAATCCAGCCGTGTGATGATAGCACTCCTGCTGTGCACAGTCGAAGTTCGCGGAGCATTCAAAGGCTTCAGGCTGTGGGCAACGTTCGGGTTCTCGCTCCGGTTAGTTGGCAAAGCATCGCGTTCTTTGTTGCAGCTGGACCATCCGACCGTGTGATTGTCGGACCCGCACAGGAGGATAAGCTATGAATCCCATGCTGCTCGAGCGTTGGTAGAGAGTCAGTTATAGAGTGATGCGCCATCCGGGAAATTCGGAATGGAAAAAGTTTCTAAGATCATGACATTGTGCCAACATTTGACTGGTCTAAGATACCGGCGCAATTTTTCCAACTGGGTCCAGTCAAAGATCGCTGAGAGTTGGGAGGAGAATAACAGAATTTGAGAGAGATTGTCGATGAAGCAGGTTAGACTGGCGAAAGAGTTAATTGTTTGGCACAGAAGAACATCATTTGAATCTTTTGAAATACGTGCAGAGGAAGGAATATCACAAATGAATTTGGAAAGTATGAGGATAGCACAGATAATCGAAGAACTCCAGAATTGCTGACTAAGGATTTAGACGAAGCTCTTTCAAATCTAGTGGTTTGTTCTCTGTCAGTTTGTTTACAAAATTATATTATTATATTTCACACACGTCTGACGCCAGACTGTGCCAAACAGATCATGGTACAATAACCTTTATAAAAAGAAAAGCGTTCCATGATTTGCAATTTACAATACAAAGATCCACGTTCCAGGTTGAGAGATTCCAAATTGCCCAAATCGCGGAAAATGATCCAATCAGATGGCTTAGTGGGTCAGGGGGAATTTAATTGCTTGACATTACGAGTGGGAGGGACAGGCGGATGTGAAACGGTGGAGAAATCGCACTGAAGAGCGAAGCAGTAACTTAAACTGGTACTCCACACAAAAATTTATCATCATAACATGATCCAAACTAATGACCTACAGAGATCTCAAAAATGTATATATACCTCAGTTAAGTTTACGTGATCGTTGGCCTTTCATGTGGTAATTTTTTTACAATGAGATGAAAAAATAATAATCTAACATTAGAAATTCGGTCTATCCCTCAGTATAGCCAATTGAAACAGTTATGCCACGTCCCCTCAACCTTGTATATTTATTCGACACCGTCTGTGAGCGTAGACTCAACCAGCATGAACTGGCAACTGTGTACATACCGAAGTACAGATATTTGTTAAAACATTTCCAAACACCCGACTTAGTCCCATCCCCTGTTAAGCATCTGCAACAGTATCGGAAAAAATAAGACTAAAAATGGTCACCAAAAAGCCGTTAATCACCTTTACTGAAAGCTGAAAATATCATGTGCACTGTACATGAAAGGACTCTGAATGAAGCGAAATGCAAGACATTCTGTACAAAAAGTCGCAGAGATGAAGGACAACACTATCGGTTCATTTTTCGGGTCTTGCGTTTACGCGCCAAACTCATCATCACGTCCGAACGAACTCGACCGAAGTCGTGCGCGTTCAGTTGCCGGAACGGAACAAACAATTTGTCGTGGAGAAATTTCTCGGCCTCCTCACACGTGTTTTTCTCCACCGGATTCCGACTCAGTAGTTCCACATGAAAGGCACCCTGTCGACCACGATTTCNCAAATCACCACAAATATCATCCGAATTTTGGTGATCAGCGCCACCGTTTATTGCGTAACAGTCGTCCGGCTCTTCACTCATCGGAGCACTCCCGGATTTCAGCAGATCTTGTTCATCACTACCGTTGTAGCCCTCATCTGACTCTGAATAGTAAATAAGAAGGAAAATGGATATAGGCCTTGCATAGTAGCACTTCTTGTCCATTTCAGTTGGAGAAAGCACTCAGATCTTTGATTAGATAAAATCACCCAGTATATCGCGCAAGCCATAACAGTTCNATTTGAGGGTGAAGTATGTAACAATAATTCCGGCCCATAAACCATGAGTCTGGTCAACAGAAAAGGCAAAATTGTTGCGCTCTCTGCAGAAGGATACGAACCTTACACACATCGAGACCAAATGATGTTAGGAGTGTATCGAAAAATTGATGCGCCATGTGTTGCTTTATTGTGAATGTTATAGTGTTATTAACACAGCGATGTCGGTAGAGAATTATATTCGCCGACGTTTCGGTTACCGTGGGTAACATTTCTCAATGCAGTTTTTACAATCATTGATTGTGTTATTAACACTATAACATTTATAATTACTATGGGTCATTTGAATGGAGAAGTCAAGTCATATGTGGGATAAAGTTGTAAAACATGACGGACACTTTATTCTACGCAAAATAAAACCACTAACTTACCGTTATCAGTGGTTTTGTTTACATCTACAGTGTTGCTATCAAATAGCGCCTCTGTTTGCAAATCATGTAGTCCAGTTGCAAAAGCAAGTGGGTTAAATGTAGACGAGAGAGTAAACTCGTCACTGACTTCTGCAGCGGAACCTCTTTCCTAAAAACTAGTGTTCAGAAACAAAGGGTTGGTACATACCTTCGTTTTTCGTTTATTTAACCTGGAAAGCTAAATACCCGTAAATGAAATTCTGATAAAACAAACGGTTACCTGGTGAGATTTTTCAGAGTCTGTAATATCCCCGGTGGAATTTTTAATTTTCTACAAGCGTTAACACATTCCGTGATAACTTACGGTTGCTAGGTTGGCAGCGTGCTTTTCTTTGCGCAAAAGTTTGATCCTTCTTCTCGAAGCCGAAATAGTGGCTCTAATTTGCTTATTAATAAGCGCCTGCTCTTTATTCTGCTCTGCGAACGTGTGACTGACAGGAAGATCATCCATATCTATTTCGTCTTCAGACATCTACAATCAGAGGACAAAAAGAAGGAAGAGACCGCAGTTTAATACAACCGCGAACTTTTGTAGTACAGAAGTGACAAATCGATTTATCGTGTTGGTTCATGTGTGGATTTCGTTTGTCTCGAGGTTCCCGGATTCGGTGGTGCTGGTCGACTATCAAAGCACGTTGACCACAAGGCTAACGACTCAACCGGTTTACACAGTTGCGGCCTTGCCCAACTAGCTGTAAGGTACTATATTTCTTCCAACTCTCAGACTTATAGACGCGCGTCAGACAATCCAGGCGGATAGCGAGTATATTGAAGCGTGAAGTGCAAAATAGCTTAAGAGATTACTGAGAAGCCACTTGAGCGCTACTTGCAAATACGGAGTCAACAGCTAAATGCGGTTAACCCTGTAGTCATCTCAGATGATTCGTGCTACCGACAGAAACGATGGAGTTAGAGAACCAATCGGCGAAGTAGACGACAGGCTGATATTCGGTTTGTAACGCTGCTTAGTACACTTTGCACCGTTATTTAACCAGAATCTTGCGCTGCCTACCCTAGTAAGTTATCCTGAAAGTTTACTTTGGTCACCATTCACAGAAACGGAGATACGAAAAAAGCTTCAAGACCTGAAACGAGGGAATCCTTCTAGAGCAGGTAGCGTGAGGGAAGTCCTTTTGGAGGTGGTAGAGAAAGCTCGTCTGGTTGTTTTTAAAAATCTGTGCAGAAGATGAACTCACACACGGAATGGATTATTACAACCATTTACAAGGGCTTTTCTACTTTTTGTACCAGTTACAAGAACATTACTGTCATATATAGCGTTCGTTTCGCTTTGCTCTTTTACGGTAGCTGACTGCTGGGAGAGGATAAACTGGACTGAAGAAAATCCCGAATTATTATTCTTATTATTATATTATATTATTCTTGTATATTCCACACTCGTCTGAGGCCAGACTTTACGCCAAACAAATAATGGTACAATAATAAAAAAAGAAAAACGTTCCATGATTGGCTTGTGAGCTGAATACTGCCAGGTTACCCAGACCAAGGCAGGTGAATTTTCCTGAGCAATCCACAACCGGAGTCTTTGACTAGCCAAAGCCTGATCCGCAAGGCAGCGGGGCGATGTGAGAAAACCACAATCCATTTGGGGTCAGTGCTGAGTTCATCGGATTCTACACCTTTCGGAGGGGGTCAAACGTTCAAGGTGCCTTATACACTTCGATGCCCAATCGAGCCGGTGACCATTACCACAACCGAAAATGTGTGGGTGTGGTTCGTACGCCTCCTCATGGTTGGTTTGGAATTAGGGTTTTTGGCCAATTCTCTTAGGTGAACTACCAGTGGTCCACCAACCCGGTTATAGGCCCGGACGTCGGCTTTTCGTCCTCTCACTTTTGTGGGAAAACACCTCCGCCATGAGAAGGCAATGAGTAGGACTTCCTCAACAGAGGCCATTTCAGAAGCTTGGTCGTATGGGGGAACTTCACGAGACAGAAGGGAAGGGTGACCAAAAGCAACCCTAGGCACCCATCCCCGACCATACTAAGGAATTCGGATTCTTGAGTACAAGTGATGACAGTCTTCTACTCCAAGTGGCTAGGTTTCGCAACCGGACGAACTGCTGCGGAAAAAACACTTATTGTAGGGTTGTATTGTAGGCCAACTTCGCTTCTTTCAGTTTTTCAGATTTTTACAGCCATTAATCATGCACTTTCGTGCGCGGGTTTTGGTTGCCCATTTGG